CCCCCCCCCCCCCCCCCCCCGCCCAGTACACATACTTTATGACCGGTCCCTAATATAATATACTATTTTATATAGGTTTCTGTTTAAGTTATTATCATTGTAATGTAACTAAATTTGTATTTCTACAATTGATTCTGAAAAGCCCCTTGTTTGGCGATGATCAATAAATCTCATCATCATTAGCGACCTGTTAAATTTATTTTATTTCAAAGTACAAGTAATAAGTTGAAGAGTTTGTCGCTAAAAGCTATTAATTTCAATAAACATTTAAAAACGTCTTACGAAGAGTTTCGTGTTGAATTTTTACATTAAAATAAAGCCCATAGAATGCAAAATAACATAGCTGTACTTTATATATTTTAGAAATTGGTAGTTCTGTGGTTAAAAATGTACATGTTTTGTACAAAAAATAAAAAAACCAATGCCGTTTTGCCAGTTGCCATGGCTAACATGACGCGAGTAACGCGAGCCTGCGTAATTGAATTAATGTAATATCATAGTTGCCCCGAAATCCTTTGTCTCACGAGGTACGATTAATCACTAATTTACCTCATTACTAAAACCCATGTGGGTTTTTACCACGGGCAAAATTAGAACTAATTTTGCCCGTGGTAAAATTAGTTCTAATTTTCCCCTGCATGCTTGATGAGGGATATTTAGAAGACAAACGCGTACCTCATTACCTCTGATTGGACAGCTGTACCTCATCGAAAATCATCGGCACAACTATGGACAGTATCTGACGACACCGTCCCGTACACATTCGAACAATCACTTTGCCGGCTTTTATTCCCTAATCTTGAACATTTCAGTTGTGGGAGAAAATTCCGTTTATGCGCATGCCTAAAACGAATGAACACGGAGATGTGTTTTTGCGCGTGCGTATATATGAAAAGTGTTCGTACCACAATCATAAGACAATCAAACAGCATTCAAAACAGGCAACACACCACGCGCGATTCCCTCGGCAACTATGATATTACAAAGTAATAGCATAGCATGGCATAACGGTCGATTAGTGATGAAATGTCCCTCAAGCCTCGAGAGGTTTAGTAAAAGAGGTTTACTAAACCTCTCTCGGCTTTCGGGTACATTTAATCACTAATCGCCCTGAATTCCATGCTATTACTTATAATAATTGAAACAATGTTGGGAAATATGAGCGAGAGGTTGTTGCATGCATGTATTTCTAGTTGACTATGGCATGAATAAACTGAATGAACTGAAGACGGTATGTTGTACTTTACAGAGAAAAGGATAGCAGATTGTTACAACTCAAACATTCCGAGGGAAATAGATGGCCGCACTGCTTTCCTGTGCAACAGAAATACGTAACGGAATACAGACCCATATAAAAAAAACTGAAAACATTGAAAAAATAATAGAGCGGAAACACGGTCGAACAGAGATGCAAGAAACATCGATACCATCCCTAAAATACGACTTGAGAAGAAGCAAAAGAAAAGCAGACGAGATGATAACGGAAGTAAAAAGAATGAAAACTGAGGAAACAGATCGTATTACTCGCCTAGAGCAACATGTACAGCAAACTAAAGAAGGGTTCAAAACCGAGATGGCAGTAATGCGAAACCAACTCACTGACACGCAAAACGAATTAATGGAGATGAAAACAGCTCTTCATACAGGGCAGACCGCCTACAACTTCGAAAAGGACCTCGCGACATACATCTATCCACCAGGAACGTCAATCACATTCGGCCGAATATTTTCAACCATGATGAAATGGCTGCAGGACAATAAGGATACGCCAGAAGGACGTGAAGGAAACAAGAAGTGGAATGCATTGAAGAGGAAGTTTAAGTGGTCAAATAAACACGAACAAGTATTTTTTAAAATGCTCAAGTGTAGGAGAAAACCCGCGCACCCGAAGGTCGACTATAAATTGCCGATTCCTGATAACTTCAGCAAGGACGAAGAGAGATACGTTGAAGATATCCGTAAAATGACCATTCGAGTGAACGAACTAGTAGGTTTGCCTAATCCTAATCTTAACTCTTAAGGTAATCTTATAATTTATTCATTTGTTTTGTAAGTTATAAGTGTTTCTATTTATTTCAAGACATCGTAAATTGACATACTAGATTATTTTAGGTGTAAATAATATATTGAAACAATATGAATCGAACAATATGTATAGGTAATAATAGTATGGTTTCGAGTGCAATTTGGAAAAAGTGTGCAATTTGACGTCTTTGAAAATGGAGTGCAATTTGACGTCTTTGAAAAACTCACGAGTGTATGTTTTTGCAAATTGCATGAAAAAACATACTATTATTTACACGCTTCGATAACACCTGTGCACTCACCTTTGCCATTTTTAAATACTTAATTAAATACATTGTTTTCAGGGCGGTAGCTAGCATTTATAGCTGGGGCGGGGGGGGGGGGGGGGATGTCGGGCAAACATTTCCAAATGACGAAAAAATTGCGAAGTAATATTTCAAATCCGAGTTAATGTTTTAGACGTGGTTTCTAAATACAAGTGCCATGAACAATGTCGAGGCGCAGCCGAACCATTGTTCATGGCACTGGGGGATTTGGAAGCCAAGTTTAAAACACTAACGAGGATTTGAAATTGCTGGTCTAGACAGGGTATCCAGATAGATACACGTGATGTAAATTACACCATGTCATTGGCCGAAATATATTTCAGTGTATTCCAGTGACTATATGGTAATCTTGAAATGTATGTCTGGAAATATTTGCAATTTCCAACAGTTTGAGATTAGCTTTTTGAGATGGATGAAAAAATGACAATTTTTCAGGAAAAAGCAACTGAAACTAACGGTTTGATATAGAAATAATGGTGTCTCAGTAGTGCATACTGCATGTATAACATGTACGGCCAGAACCGGTTTCAGTCTGGAACACACCGGATGTATAATCAGTAAGAAAGAAAATTTGAGAAAGAGTGTATTACTTAACCAGGGCAATGGCACGTTGTCTGGCCTGTTAGTGAGTTTGGGAACCACAAAATTACTTACGTTTTTGTATTCGACCGAAAGCATACAATAGGGGGCTCTATAACTGTCTCCTTAACGCGCAAACCGCCCTCCCCCCTCTCAATACAGGTACACACTAGGGACACGCACATCATGCACGAAAATTTTCCCATTATTCTATTGCTTAATTCCCTTGACATATCCTATTATTCTTAAAATTTTCCCCTATTATTCTCAAAATTATTCCACATCATGTCGAACGAAGGCCAAGAGAAAATAAGAACTTTATTTATATGATGGATATGGAGCTGCAAATTTCGCCAATTTTCAATTTTATTTGAAATTTGCATAATGGTTAAAGAAGCAAATAATGCATAACCATATTAGTTAAAAAATTATATACGTACACGACGTATTAAGAGACGGTACACACGTGCACGCCGTGCCGCTGGCCCGTGGGCGGATGGCGCATATGCTCATTGGGAATTTACGTTGGCACGATGACATCATACCAACACGTTTCCTTATTATTCCCGCTTTTGCCTATTATTCCCGGTTTCAAAAAAATCCTCTGTTATTTTAAAATAAATTCCGGCATAATGTGCGTGTCCCTAGTACACACTCACACATGGGAATTGTAATATCATTGTAATGATATATTACAATCTCGAGTTATTCTAACCGAGACCCAAAAAGCTGTCAGTCTGCCCCTGAGTTGAATCATAACATGTATAGCTCAGACTGGAAGCGTTAAAAAAATCGTCATTTGCGTGTTTTCTCTTTGGGAAAAGGAAAATAAAGTATATATAGTTTCTAATTTAAAGGAGGTGGACCGTGCAGAACAATTTTTCTTTCAGCAACCTTTTGCATATTCAAATAATGATTAAATACTTAATATGCATATTCTATTGCCTTCAATCTCAGCTACATATTATAGTTCAACTGGAATTTGTCCCACGTAGAATATGCTATCTGGATGTACAGTCGACACTCCAAATTGTCTTCTATACATCACTACAATACCGTCTAGGTTGCTTATTGTACAACATTGTTCCACGCACCATTATTAAATCTGATTGAACAATATATTGGGTAATGTTGGACGATGTTGGGATGTTTTGAATGGGTTTCAAATACTTAGTTATTCCTTGAAAGGAACATATTAGATTATATGTTACATTGCTGTAACTGTATATATGAACGTTTTTAATTGACTCAAAATCGCCCAATATACAGCCTGAGAGCGCAGCTCGAATTTGGATAAAAGCCAAAGTTCGAGGCATTAAACTAGTCACAAGCTCAACCTTGCAATGTGCATGCACTGACCGGCAAATTGCAATATGCATTGACAATGACCGTCAATGTGCATGCGACGCGATGTCTATACTGATACTAAATACTAAAACTCAGGGACGTGCCGACTGGGGGGATCAGTTTTCCCGCAAATAAAAGGTTCAAATGAAAGGTTCAACAAAAGGTTCGACCTCAATTTTTCACAATATTCCTTGTACAAAACGGCAAAAATAGTTGAAAGAAGAGTACTTTTAATTACAC